TTTTTTTTTTTAATTCATTTAATTCAACACAATTTTTTTTTTCTATTTTTTTTGCGCGTATTTGCATTTTTAGTAAAGGAAACAACAGGATGAATCCTAAACTAAACTTTTTTTTTAATTTCAACATAAGCATTGTACATATCTGTGTTCATTCATTCTGTGATTATTTACCATTATTTGTACAACAGAAAACTTTTTGCTGAAATTACGGCAAAATTTTCTACACTGTATAATAGTCGATTAGTGTTTTCGTTAAACTTTTAAGTTGTCTATATGCAATAGAAATAAAATTTTAGTAAATTTTTACCTTTCATCAATAAATGTCACAAATATTTTTCCTTACTGCTTATTGATATATTGAATGCAGATTAACCGTTGATTACAATTGATATCAGACGTTTATGACGTTTAACAGTGTTATCCTACTAATTGCTAAGTGGTTACAGCAACAAAAAAAATTGTAATAACGATAATAATTAGCAACCACCAAAAGAAACTGCATCAGAAGTTCCTGAAACATATTGCGAAATTTGCGTGATTCTTACAACAATTTTTAAAGACACGGAACATAAACAATCTTTAACTAATATCAGCGTTGCCTATTTATTCATATAAATGTATATATATAACTATGTATTTCGTGTAGCGGTAGAAAGCAGTAATTTTTCTTGTCCAGTTATAAAGCGAAAGAAATGAACTTTTTTAACGTGCTGTTACAGGCTTTGAAATGACATCTAACCAAAAAAATTCATCTAAAACTACAATAACGGAATCCACTTGTACTACTGAACATAGGCTGGTTGAGTTTGAACTTCCACGGCCAACCTCGCCGTCTCAGGTACTTCATTTGCTTCCTTTCTTTTCTATAGATTTATATTAAAAATTTGTAAAATAGTTCTTCCTATCCGCAAAGAGGTTTTTGTCATACGTATGCAGTGTACTGTCAGCCATAATTATTACTTTGTAATTGTCTAAAGCGGCGAACAGTAATGCAAAAAAATGAACTTTTTCTTTCACGTTACCAAAAAAAATTTTTGGACTATCTCTTAGATTTAATATTTGTAGAGTGATAATGCAACAAAGACTTCTGCTGCTTGTTGGTCTGCTCCTGACTATTCAGGATTAGGTGAACTGAACGATGATAGTGACGCAGATGATCGTTGTTCAGAATTGGACTCACCAAAAGACTATTGCTGGTCTGCTCCGGAATTAGCTTGTGAAGATGTTGGTTTCCTGTACACCATTTGTATTTTAATCATTTTAGACACCTGGATTTTTTTTCAGTCTAACTAAAGTAAGGTTGGTATAATACATCGGAAAAATGAAACAGGTAATTTTAGTTGTACGACCCGTTTGATGACGAGTGTGACGAACCTTCGAAAGGGTTTCCACGAAGTCGAGATCGTCTTTGTTCACTTCCGAAGTAATGTATACAAAGACGAGCTTTGAAAATGGCATAAGAATAAGTGCTTGTTGTTGGGTGCTTGAGAAACCGTTTTTAGTTCTACGCAACTAAAATCACACGACATGAGATTTGTGTATTTAAATGGAACTCTTACAGACACTTCCTCTATTGTCTTTTTGAGCCATTAAATGCACCATTTTCAGCTGCAAAACTTCAAAGTAATTATACTTCTAATGCTACCTTCGTCTACTTAACAGTTTTCAAGTTTTATCAACTTTACAATAACTCTTTTAGCTTTTTTCTACTAACTTTTTTATCTGCTTTATACTCTCTTCAGCTACTTACTCTTTGATTACTTCAACTTTTTTTTTGCTTCTAATTGTATAGCTCTTATCCTTGCCTTAAAGACTTTATTCGTCATATTATAAAGATGAGATTCAACAGCAGTTTAAAGCTACCAATTTAACCACTTGAAAGAACAAAATTTTTTATAGTTACTTGGCTAGTTAGAATCACTCAGCTGCAGAAGATATTGGGGTTTCACAGCACCAGCTTCTTTTCGTCATTTTAAAAATAATTATAATTTATTTGTTATTTAAAAAGAACCTATTATATTCAGTTTTTTGTCGCTATTTTTATTATTGTACTCGTTGCCACCTTTTTTTTGCTTCAACTTTATTAAATAATTTTAGCTCAATTTTCTCTGATTATGATGAGCCAAAACGTCCAAGTTTTTTGGCACTTGACAGCCAAGAATCGGAGCAGATTATGGCTAAAGCTAAACGAATTTTACAGTTTCCAAAATCGCTTGCTCTCGAGGAAAGTTATAACTCAATGGACATTTATGTTGCTAGTCCATCACCTCAACGGTAAGCAGTTACTGTCTTTGCCTAATAATCGCATTACAAGAACCACATTAAGCAATTCTACTTTCTCTTATTTGTACACTTTGATTTGATATTCTGCTGATTAAGTTATCATGCTGAATTAGTTATTAGTAAAGTTGCATTGTTGAGAAACCAAACTTTGGTCGTGTACATCTCTGATTGTTCTCTAGTGATGTCAACGAAAAAGAATTGTATCAGTCATTTAATGAGAAGAAGACGCTAAGCAACTTTACGTCACCGTCTGGGATCGATTTTATTGATTCACCGGACGATAATAACGATATACCGTACGGTTACGAGCATTTTGTATCTAAAATAGCTGCGGTGCAGCTTAAGATCAGAACTGATGAAAATCGGAATAGCTGTTTCCAGGAGAAAGTAAACATTAAAAAAAGGTAATTTTATTTAATTTGGAAATTATTAAACATTGAACTTGACAGTTACTAATGTAACGCTCGACAGATAATAGCTGCTTCTGGTTAATTTTAATACATATTACCCGAGTTGCAACAAACAGAAGAACTGTTAGAAAGTTGTCATTAGCTACAGTGAACTGCCATATTACTCCATTAATTTTCAGATAAGATTTGTCAGAATGTGAAAAACTTTTGCATTTGCTGAAAAGCTACAGTATTTTTCAAAAGTCTGTTTCTACTGTGTTTATTCTAGCCTAAAATACTGCAATAAATTCGCTTCCAGACAGCCCTAGTTAGTCAAAAAATAGCCTATTATTTCTGGAATTTTTTTCATATTTATTCTTAAAAACCAATTTGTTTTGAAACTGACACCTAAACCCTTTTATTTCTTAAAAAAAACTCAAAAATTAACTTAAGTTGCGTTTGAAAATTGGACGAATTTGCACTGCATTTATGAACAGCTACACAAAAAATAGTTGTTAATTTGTAAAAAACTACGTTCTCTAAGTTGATCGCACCTAAAATTTTGAAGAAACTATTTTACTAAATATTTTTTGAAAGTTAATTAACAGGCGATCATATTTTTTTCTTGTACCGGTTTTACGATTCGCCTGACGTTACTTTGGCGATAGAAATGATAAAATTGCTTGAGAATACGTAATGTATGCTCTTACATTTAGCGATTAATATGCTGACAGAAACAAGCAAAAAGTTTCTTGGTCAACACTGACTTGAATGCCAAGATTTATCATTTCTAACAACTTAAGGAAACCCATTTATTGGTGGTAAACAGTTACTTTACAACATTTCTAAAAATTTAAATGCTGTACAGTTTTAAATTTATCTAGCTTCGTTCAAATTCTCTACCTTTTTCATACATTCCCGCAGCTACTAATTTTTCCTTTTTAAACTTTTGTAATTTTAGCTAAACAAACTAAAAAAACGTTTGAAGGAATAAACTGTTAGAAAAGGGAGGAAGAAATTTTAAATTATAATGTTGTAATTTCATGATAAAGTTGCTCGCTACAAAAATGTCTAATTTTTTTCGCATAGAAACTGAAAGAGTGGGATTTTAAGGTTGTTTGTAAATAATGACTAATAAAAAAAAGCTATTTTGTTATTTATATCAGAGTCCGTTTTCAGCTGTTCGGGATGTTGCCGAAATTGTACGGGTCATTCAAATGATCACGAGGAGGCGGGCAATGCTAACGAATGCAGTGAAAAGAGTGTTGTTTTAAATGATTGCGGAGAAGAACCTGTGACGGTAAATAATGAGCCAGAAAGCATTGAAGATGTGCTAAAGCGATTTACAGGATTCAAACCTTTTAATATTTTGACCTCCAGTGAAACGTCATCTGACAAAACTGAGGAGTTCACCGATAACTTGGGGAAGGCAATTGTACCAGCTAGCTTAACCAAAGAACTTGCACACCCTTCAAAAAATCTATCCCACGACGTTTTGAAACCGAATTCCGATTGCTTCTTAGAAGTTTCAGAGCCCAACAGTCGCTCAAACATTTCTGATAGTGTGGAAGAGAATACATTACTGAAGAAAAGTACGAAAAAGGAAGCAACACTTTTACTGTTAGGCCCACTCAACATGCATTCAAGTTACAGCGGTAAACAAACACTTTTCAAAGGACAAATTAGACGTTCGGCGACAGAATATAAGTTAAGCCACAAGGCTCCAACCAGTAAAGAGGAGATAAGCAGGCTACGTAAGGCTGAATTCGAGGAGGGTCGCCGAGGGAAATTAAAAAAATCTTTAACGTCAAACGCAATCTTTAAAACATCTGAGACCACTGAATGTGCTGCTTCTGGGAGACGACGACTACCTGCAGCTCCTAGTCAGGATAACGATGTGGCCCAATCTGCAAAAGGCAGTATTTTCACTTTATATTTGAAAAAAAAACTAAATGTTACTAAAGCTAAAGAGATGCATTAAATTTTATTAAATGTCATTATTAAACAAGTACATAATATTTAGACAGCAGACGAGAGTCTTTCAATGTTCCTTTTGCGACGAGTAAGGATAATTACAGTAACGGTAGTTGTGCAGTTGTCAACACGAAGAACGTTCAAAAGCAGAGAGCTCAGCTACAGTGAGTAAAATTCTATCAGTTAACATTGATAGAATTTCTCAGAACAAAAAAGTGCATGACTACGAAATCTTCAATTTTAATAACTATAACTGAAAGACTTTCCTTTATCGCAATATAGAAGTGGGGTTGTCATGGGTTATATTAAAATCTTGTTTTCTGTTCTGGCGTAATTTTCACATATTTGTAGAGGTTCACCGGAACTGCATGAGTGGACCCCGACTGATGCATACCGCAAATGTATTGCCAAAACTCCGACACAGTATATAGATTTGGATTTCGGAAAGAATACACCTGGTCATCAATACTCACAAGATCGTTATCACTGTTCAGGCACTGATTATACGCCTTCGCCATCACAAGGATTTCACTTTATTTATCACAAAGGTTTTCAAGAGTGCGTCCCATGTTATGGACAAAGCTGTTTCACGCTTTCATACACTCCGGTTTCAGAAATGGCATCATTCGATGAATCTCATTATTTGCAAAACCGGTAAGTCTATGCTGTTTCCTTTTTCTGAACTTAAAGTCAAAAAATCTAAAAATAGTTTTTTAATCTTACATTTTCCTATTAATGCTGTTTTTTAAACAGTCGTAATTAAAGTGTATAATTAATCTTTGAGTTTTCAGTAAATGTTGGTTATTTAGTCAGAAAACAGTAGTAGGATCACTTTGTCGAAACATTTTACGCCAAATATTTTAGCTCACCTTCATTTGAAAGTCAATCAAGATGTAGACTGATACTTTTCTGCAACGAAATTCGTTTGCTTTTACTTATTTGAACGTTTCATGCTAGTGGTAAAGAGTTAATTGAGTTAAATATTTGGAAGAAGAAAGAAAAGGAAAGAGGGTGGTTGACGGGAGGAAAGAGGTGGTGTTGAATTGCGAACGATTCATAAAAAAAGGAAGCTGGCTTTAGTGCAGTTTTGAAAATGAGACATTGTGAATAAAAACAGTTAAAAACTAAAATAATCAAGCATAATTAATAAAGAAAAAAATCGAAATTTTTTTTCAGAACTGTTGAAAATGAAATTAATCTACAAAGGCCAACATCACTACCCTTTAATGGATTAGTACGTACTGCAGCTGTTCAACAACGTATGCACATTCTTTTTCATTAGCCAGGATTTAAAAAACAAACAACTTATGGTTATGTTTAGATTGCAGACAATTCATTTGTCTACTTATGTAGTTATTCACTTCAATTTTATATTTGTCAGTTTCAAAAAATTTAAGTCTAAAAAAGTGGAAACGTAAAACAGTAATTTTTCCTGACCACACACTGAATTACACTTGTTTAACTGCTTTACCACAAGTTGCTCTTCATCACTTTTTTTTTCATTTCTTCTTTCTCACACTTATCTCCTCCTTTTATTGAACGGATATAGTTTTCAGCAGTGTAAATAATAAATACCACTTCAACATATACATAATTGACTATTTTTGCTTGTTTCCAAATATAAGCATCAAAAAAAAATTGAAAAAAAAATTTTTTCTGGACTAGTTATGTCGCACAGTATCTTTACCACTTCCAATACTAAATTATTAAAACAATGACGTTTTACGGCAGAAAAAAAAAATTAAACTTTTGTTTTTCAAATCTTTATACAAACTTTGCAGTTGTTATTGCCGCTGTTAGTAGACAACAGCCAAACTTTCTAAATCTTCCAAAAAAAGAGGATAAAGTGTAGGGGCTGGCAAAGAGTGGAGAAAGAGATGAAAATTGCAAAAATATTCATTTAACAAGAATAAATAAGAAGATTTTTAAGCTGCAGCGATGAGCAAAATGAAGAATTAGGCGAACAATAGTACTTATTCGCATAATTTTGCAAGTTTAGATATTTTAACAGCCAGAATTTTGGCACTTCATTCGTTCAGAAGTTAAAATTTAGTCATTTTTTCCAATATTTGCTTTATTTTACACTGTCTCAGTCTCCTGTTCCTTCGATTTTATTTTCTTTCTAATCTCCCAAGTAATGTTCAGGCTTTTTTTTGCTAACAACTGGCTTCTCGTCAAATTAGTGATCAAAAAAAGCGTTTTTTCTCATCATTGCCGAAAAAACCTTTGCAGTAAACTGGAAACTGGACCATTTCTTTTCCTTTATTTTATTTATTCTTCGTTGTTTCCAAACACTGTGATCAATATATTCCACGCATGGTTGCAATATTCCTCAACAAAGGAAAAAGATTTCATTGATTTCCAAAAGAAGCAAAAAAATGATCTTACAAATTTAACTTTTTAAATACTCTTCATTTTCTTTCTTTCGTTTCTTTTTTTTTTCGTTTTTTTGTTTTGTCGTAATTGCACTCATTTTATTTTTGTACAATCAGAGTTGTAATTATTATATATGTATATACTTTTGGGTTGGCTAACCAGTAGATTTTAATTGGGAACCCACAGGTTTAAAAAAAAAACTTCAATTGAAAAAGAAAAAACAAAGTAACATTGATGACGATCTAGAAGGCAAAGGGTAGTATCCCAAAAATTAACGGAGAAGAGGCTAGCGAAAGGAAGTAGATGCGGTTAGGGAGGAATAAAAAGAAAGAAAAAGGAAAATTTGTGCTTTATCCCTGATATTTTCTTGCTTTGTTGAAAATTATTGAAAGGCCCAAAGGCTGTTCAGTCGAATCATTTATGGTTGATGAAGATTGTCAATCGATTTTGCTGGCGTCTGGAGGATGTTAGACAGAGTAAAATAGGGATAGAATAAGATATAGGAGGAGACGGGGAAGAAAAAGAGGAAACAAGCGATTCATTTTTTGCTGGGAACGAGAGGGGACGACAACTGAATAGATAGATTTGAATTGGATAGGCCTTTTTTTGGAAATAAATGCAAAATAGAGCTTTTGATGCCTGTATTTCCTCCTCCACCCTTCTCGCTTTCTTCTCCTTTAGCTTTCCCCCCCCTCCCCCCAATCATGTACGCGATGTTCATGGATTGTTAACTGGTTGGTTGTCCAAGAAAATAAACATTCTAGTCAACTATCAGGAAATCTTTTTTTGTATTTGCTTTATTATTATTTTTTTTTGCTCCAGCATAAAACAAAAAGAAGAATTTCACATTTCTGATTATCTGCCTATGCTACGGTCAAGCTTACAAGTGTATATTTATTTTTGTATGCATTCCCTGTTTTTGATAAGAATTGGATGAAAAAAAAAATGGATAAGCGAAGCAAAAGAGGAAGGAGCAGGAAAATGGAAATAAATTTCAAACCTAAGATTTCTGTTCTACTTTTACGATAATGATGAAATGGTTATATTCGTGTGTAACTAAAAGCATTTAAGAGTTGTAGACTCTCTTTGTTAAAACTGTTAAATTTCTTTAATTATTTAACGCTGTTGCTGACTACACTGAGGTGAGGATGAAGGACGGACAGAAAAGAAAACGAACGGGATGCTAGACGTAGGGAGAAACACTTTATATTCCATTTGACACATCTCGGTTCTACTTGTGTGTTGTGCTCGTGTGTTCAACCTTGTGTCTGTTACTATTCCTATGTTTTGTTGTTATTTATACGTCGGATATCAGTACTTATTGTGGTTGAAGATTCAGTGAAAACATTGATTCAAAATTTCCTGCCCTGATCCGTCTTCACTTCATTGTTCTTTAATTTAAATTTGTTGTGCCAGTTGGAAGTTCTGCTTTACAGTTACAAAAGTTTGCCATTTTTCTTTTTTTTTCTTCTTCTTTTGTTTTCTGGATTTTAGATGCTAAACATAGTTTTTTATTTGAATGAGGTGACTAAAGCAGAAGCAGCAATAGTGGGCAATGGCAGTTAGGAAAAAGCAGGGTTCTAAGGGAGAGCGGCAAAGATTGAGTTATAAGGTAAACATTTAAAAAAAAATTTAGATTTTTAGTTCTGTCGAATTCTTTGGTGTTATTTCTTCAACTCTTTTTTTTCCTTCTTCGAGGCAATCATCAAAGCCCATTTGCTGAGTATTAACTGCCTTTTGGTCCCACAATTCTTCTATTTTGGATAATTTCGAATTCTAATAGCATTTTTTTGTTTTGGTCTTAAGAAGAAAAATTTTTTTCCTTTTTCTGCAAAAATCTTTCACATGTTTGGTTTTCAACACTTCGATAGATATTGTAAAGCAATGTTCCATTTACGTCTGCTTTCTGCTTCTTTTTATGCTTTTTTCTTTCTGATCTGTTTTTTTTTGTCGATTTTCTTCTCATCTATCGACTGCTCTAGTAAAAAGCTTAATTTTAAAAATTAAAAAAAGAAGAAAGAGAAGAAAGAAAAAAGAAAAAAATGTGGGTGAAAAACATGTTCAGATTTCAATTAGTCATCTTTGTACACTCTAAATAACAACAAATCAGAAACTTCTTTCATGCCGACAGAGAACAAGCTTTATTTTTTTGCTCACGCTTCTCAACAACAACTTTGAAGCCGCATATATACGGGCATTAGTTAGCCCTTTCTTTTACCCAGTCAATTTTTTCTGCTGACAATTCGGATGCGTTCTTAAAATTAACAAAAAGAAAAAAAAAGGGAGACTTCAAATAATCGCACAAAGACAAGAAAAAATGGATTTGTTTGGCAATGCAACTTGGATATATGATTCGACTCATCTTTGATTTATGTACTTTTCATCAGCAACAAAAATTCGGCTAACCATATCCCGTGCCAAAGCAAAACAAAAGCACTTCACTAACTCTGTCCCTTACTTTTTTTTCTGTGTATTCATTTCGTCGTTTTTCTTCCTTTTTTTGGTTCTTCTTTCTTTTTTTTTTTTTTTTTTGCTACTTCTAACAGTGTTTTTACACTTTTGAGAGGTAGCAGAAAATAAAGTAGAAGAAAAGTAAGAAGAAAAGAAATTTTTGCATCAGCTTCAAGTGCAGTATCAATTGCACACTTATCATTCCGGCAAAGAGGCTATTAATGTGTTCTTGTGCTATTGATGCTCAAAAATTTTTGTAGAAGAAAAAAATAAAGCAAAAGTTATTTCTTTTTCAAAATTTTAGGTAATAATATACCAAATTTTGGTCACAGGCAGTTGCCAGCATTGCCAGTTAATCCAAAATACAAAGAAACACCGTTGGATATAAATCAGTATACAGTGCCACCAACTTTAAACAGCAACGTTCATCATCATTATTTGAGCAACAAAATTATGACCAACGATTATGCAGCCAAAGAGGATCACAGGTCTTTAGTAATTCTGTTTTTTTTTTTTCTTCAGTATTTTCTGTACAACTTCGTATGCTAAACAACAATTTGAAAAACGTTGATTTTTATATGGGTAATTTTTTGGACAACAGGATTTGAAGCTGGTAAAGAAGAAATAATTGTCTTTTGTTCTGCTAAAATATTTTTGTTTGTGTGTTGGCCAATATATTGTGTTTGTAGCAGAGTTGTAGTTGTAAAATTGAAGTATATTCTTTTAAGAAGAGATATATGATTGATATTGTTTGGTGTTATATATAGTGAAACTTTTCAGTATTTCTCTTTTTCTTCATGCCAGTTTTTTATTTTTATTTTTACTTATTTATTTTATTTTATTTTATTTTTTTTTTTGAGAGGGATAAGGGGAAACTTGAAAATGGGGGAAGAAGAACGGGGAGAAAAGGGAAGGGAAGAGAGATGTGAATAGAAAGGAAGGGTGAACAAGAAGGGAAGATGGAGGAGGACAGCGGCAATTTTATTGCGATTTTTTGAACGTCATTGAAAAATAAACGATTTTCTAAAAAAAAAAAAATTCCCATTGCCGCTGTAAGCTTTGAAAGGCAAGTCTAATTTAGCATAACAGGCGAAAAAATCCCTTTCCAATTAAATGAAAATGAAACTCTAAAATAACCTTTATTTTTGAGCGATCAAAAGAAGCAAAACAAAAAAGAAAAATTTGAAGCTCACACTCGAAAAGATCTGTTATGGATTGATTTTTTTTTGGCGTGTTTCAGAGATATCGTCATTTTACTTTTGGTTACATTTTTTTTGTTGTTTTTTTTTTTTGTTTTTATTTACCTATTTATTTATTTCCTATTTGGGTTTATTTTGTTTTATCCATCACTGTTGTTTCGTTCGATCTTCATTCTTTTTTTACTTGTTTACTTTTTTGTGTTTCATTTGGAAACCAATACTGCCTGCCTAAAAAAATGTAGGCTTTTTCAATTTGTTTTTGCTTTAGAAATGCCATGCTCCTTTTTCAGAATATGTTTTGACACTGAATCACTGATGGATAAGTCAACAAGTCTAATTGATGGAAGTTACTTTGAGGATAACAGTATCAATGGCAATTACTATGGCGAGTCAAAAGGTTTTGTGGGCTTTTTTTTTTCTGTTTTTTTTGTCGGACTTCCAACATAAGCACTACCGTTATCCAGTAAATTAAGTCTAGTCAAAATCGTTAATCTACTTAACGATTGTTTAGTTGATGTCGTAGTTGTTATTCCTTTCTTCCTTTTATTCAGCTGATTGTTATCAGCTACTTAAAAGCAATTTTTAATTACAACTCCATATAAAATTTGTAAGTTTTTTTTGATTAATTGATGTTACTTTGCAGCAATGAATTTATACAACCAGGACGATTCATCAGGTATTTCAAGTTGTTGTACGGGTTCTGAACACCAAACATCAACACATCGAGTACATTCACCGTTTATACCGCGGCATGACGACGAAGTGTTGCTGGAGGTCGGTGATGCGGTACACGTTGAAAGGGAGTACGATGATCACTGGTGCTATGGTATTATATTCCATATACTAGTTTTTACTTCAGTAAAACTTTTATTATTTAAAAACTTATTAAAAAACGTTTTTTTTCAACAGCATAAATAATGAAGTTTATTTCACAACTCTGGCAGTTAAAACAACAGTGATATTAGTTAATAAAAATGAATAGAAATTTTTTGCAGGCAAATTTTTTTTTGAAACATTCAGCTCCAATTTTTTGAACGAAACGACTTTTTACTTTTTATTGATCTCACAGTGTTTTTACTGTTATAATTTGCTAAAAATAGCTTTTAGGCGTATAAAACTGCTGATAGGTTAAAATGCTTGTTGTTCTTACTGAGTTGTTTTGCACGACAACGATAGTGCATTCATAAGCTTTTAAAAGGCATAATATTTCAAAGATTGGTCGTTGAATACAATTGATACGCAATAAATATTTTTCCAAAAATAGCAGCTTTTTTGTTGAGTATCGACTTGTCGTTTAAAGATTACTAATTTGTTGAAAAGATCTTGACGGTTTAAAAAAAAAAAGTATTATTTTTAGAGTTTAACTATAACGCTTACTTTTTTCACGGTCATTGCTTAACTCAAGGAACAAATACTTATCGTTTTTTCTTCTTATATTAGGTACTAATCTTAGAACGGGACAACAAGGAATTTTTCCGGTTGCACATGTCTGTGAAATTGATTTTCCCTACGACAGTTATTCAGGAGTTCCATCGACCAATCTAAATCGTAAGCATGCTTAATCGCTTGGGCTGTTTGGTAACAAAAGCTGTTTATCAATTATCATCGTCAAATTTACCAATTTTTCGTTTTGCAGCTGCACCATCAGAACGTGACACATTTTACTTAACCATGTTAGCTTCTATCGAAGTGGCTCATCACAAAGGAAACGATGTTCTTGTACAGGCCATGAATAAAGTACAGTATTTAATTCTATATTATTTGCTTATTTTAAAAAAGTTCTTTTTATTCTAAAACCAACAATGGACTCAAATTATTCATTGTTGACGAATAAACATTTTTCTTTTCAAAGCTCAGAAAACAGTAAGATGTAGAGGAAGGGGGAGGAAACAAAAATTTTATATTGTTTGGTGTTTTAAACGTATATAGTAATAATATTATTCGTGCAATTTGATAGCGAAAAAATTTCAGGTGCTAAGTTTATACAAAAATAAAGAAGAATTTGTTGTTCCGGTCACCGTTGTTATGGAAATCTCATTTCGAGGTATACATATCATCGATAAAAGTAAAAAAAATGTATGTTTTCTAATATTTGTTCATTCATTCATTTTTTATTTACTTGCTTGATTATTGAAAGTCTAAATTTATACATTAAAAAATTTTTGCGAACAGTTGACACAATTATTTCAATAATCTTTCTGTTTGGTGAAAATTAGATCAGCAAATACCATACACATTACTCAAATTTTATGGTTTAACTGCACAGCTCTTTTATTCTTTTTAACTACATTTGCATAAATTGATATTAATGTAATAGAATTATTATTGTTTAAAGGAGGCCTGAATGTTCAAGTTTTTTCAGATATTTCAATGCCCGAACTTTGATTTTTTTTACAGTTTACAAAATATATCATTTTGTGGAGCACATCCTAAACAGCTAAGGTAAGCAGCAGAACCTTGATGGATGCTGTAATTATGATATTTTATTGGATTTATGACTCCGATTGTCATTACTGAATTTTGTCGATGTTTGCAGGTACTTTGGTTTTATTACAAAACATCCGATTCTTCCAAGGTTTGCATGTCATGTTTTCTTATCCAGTAAATCCACACAAGTTATTGTTGAGGCAATCGGGTAAGAGTTTTACTTTTCTTGGCAATTTTAATGCCGTCATCTCTACTGAGCTTT